ATTTCTTAGTTTATTACCAATGTCACACATTTGCATCCAATGGTCTAGTACAATTTGTCGGTCATTTCCAGCTATAGAGTCGTTTTGAACATACCTTAGCACAACTTTGGCAGTTAACGTGCGTGGAAGGGTTCCACTACACAAGGTTTCAAGATCACTAGAAGTTTCCCCTGATAGGCAAGCGAACACATGTTTGGAGGGTTCAGGGGTGGAAGGGGGAGTTTGGCAGTCATTGCTTACAAGTCCCCTCATACGCGTGAGCATCATCGAAATATCGCTGGTGGATTTTTTCTCATGTTGGAGTTGCTCTTGCAGCCGCTCCGTTTGCTGCTGTGACTGCTGCTGGTGTTCCTGCAACCGGTCACGAAGAGCAACCACTGCTTGAACAGTGGAGCAACCCAAGGGCGAGGTGGTAGGGAGGCTGAGGTTGCGATCTGTCTCATTTTGATCCAGTTCCTTATCCCCCACTTCCTGTTGACTGTGGGGTCCAGCTGTGGATGGTGGTCTCACAGTAGGTGACATTAACCCTGAACCAGGAAGTGGCCACTCTACATCAGGGGAAGGCCCACCACTGGCAGAAGATGCAACACCTGGTTCTTGTGGGGGAGCTGGGATGATGGCACGAGTCTTCGGTCTGGTACCGGTCCCCTTGTGCACTTCGTAATTTAAAGGTGGTGAGTTTGGCAGCCAGCTGGAGCGAACATCACCTCCAGATGGCTCTGAACAGCGAGTGGGACTGATGGCAGCATTTGGCAACTGCTCTTCATGGTGGTGTGAAGGGTATGGCGAGTGTTGTGTCAACACCTCCGGGAGGCAGGTTCCTGGCACCTGACGGGCAGGCGCAGGTTGAACAGACACCTGTCGTCTGGCCCCGTGATGCACTTGGTGCTTGGCAGATGGTGAAGTATTTGGTATCCAGCTGCTACGAACACTACGTCCAGGTGGCTCTGCACAGGAATTAGAGCCGGCAGCAGTACCTGGCAACCGTCCTCCCGGGTGGGCGGGGCCGGGCACCTGGCCGTAAGCAGCTGGTCGCTTGACACAGTCAAGGTGCCAGGCTTGAACACCGCTCCTGCCACAGTTTATGCATTTTTCACTTACTGACTGCAGTTCCTTTATGAGTTTAAAACACACCTCAGATTTATGAGGTTCACCACACACGGCACAAAAAAAGTTTTTGCTTGTGCAGTACCTGGCTACGTGACGTCCCCATCGTTGACACTTATAACACCTACGAGGGGGAGGGTTGTAGAGTGCAATGTTATAGTGCCGACCTAAAGCTGCTCTAGAGTAAATTCTGTCCGGTATAGGCGTGGCACCTTTCCATGTGGCAGCTATGAGTCCATTTCTCAGACGTTTAGAGTTTACAATATTTTCATCACAAAGATATTCAGGCTTAATGAGTTTATTAACATTGAATATGACAATGCTTACTTTTGGACGCCTAGGTGCTGCATTTTTCATCTTAATGCCTGCATACTCTGTGTTTAGCAACACATTTACAAAAGCACTATCGTTTGTAACGAAGACATAGTCACTTTCATCTCTAGGTAACTTAATGACCTTATCATAATGTGCCTCAGAAGCTTCACAAAACCACTTCACTTTTCTCTCTACTGTGGTTCCCAGAGGAAAATCTAGCCGCACATGTCTGACAGCAGCCGAATTTGGTGGGTTTGATCGTGCCCTTCTCAACTGCTTACGGCGCTGACTTTTACTCATTTGCACCGTGAATCCCTCATCATCTGCACCGCCTTCTGATGTGTCGTGGGGCACCACTGAGGAGGTGGCACCATCATTATAAAACAATTGACGAGCGTGCGATGGGTCCACAAAGTCACTATCTGGCAACGGCGATGTGCTGCCCGGCACCTTATCCGGGGCAGTTGCCATGGCGTTAAAGACACAACACTTATATGCAGAGTATTACGGTACACTCGCTCCACAGTGAACCACAAAGCAGCACATCAGCAAATGGCCTATTCACAGGGTGGAAGGGGCCGCCAACCATCAAACAACATCAGCAGAAATAAATCGGCCAGCCTGCATATATGAGGCTCCACTATTTTCAAGGTCACAGCGCACCTTGCAGGTTGGCGCGGAAAAAAAAAAAAAAAATTGAAGTTGGTGGTACATGCATAAGTATCTGCTTAACAGATACTTAACACTCGACAAAAACTTGACATACACAGGCAACAAACCGTAGTACTTGAGAGCTGGCGGAGAGATGTGCAAGAAGCATGTTGATCATGAAGGTGTTCCTGGCACCATATCCTCATTCCCTGGAAGGGAACTCAATTAAGAAAAATAAAAAAAATAACTAAAAGATAAAAGATGATCTAAATAGGTTTTTAAAATGGATGAAAAATTGGTAGATGCCGTTTAAGGCTGAAAATGTAAAGTTCTGAGCTTGGCTATTTATAAGTTATCAGATATCTACTGGACTATGCTGACATTGCAAAATCTAAATGTGAAAATGATCTGGGAGTCGAGAGTTAGTAGGGATCTTAAGTCAAAAGATCAATGCGGAAATGTACAGAATAAAACAAATAGGGTAATGCGATTTATTTCTAGAAGTGTTTGTAGTAAGACATCTAATGTTATTTGTCGCTTTATTTTGCTTAGGTCCCATTTAGGTTATGCAGTTTAGTTTTGGTATCTGTACCATATAATGGACATAAATTCACTTGAATATATGCAAAATAGGATAAAGTTAATTCCAGAAATTAGAAACTTCTATTTAGCCTCTAAATGGTACAGTTATTTGAAAGTGCAGTACTGTACTACATATCTGAATTTAGTTAATAAAATGGGAAAATTTTTATGTGGCATTTTGAGCACAGGAGGAAATTGCAGATATTGATTGAAGCACAGAAAGAAATTGCAGATGGCTATTGAATCAGTGTAAGAATTAAGTAGAAAGATTTAAAAAAAAACTTATTTATATTGTAAAAAGATGAAGAATAAGGGGTGACATGATTGAACCCGGTAAATGGAGGAAAGTGTATACAAAGGGAAAATGTATAAAGTTTTAAATACAGTACTGTAATATATCAATACAAAATTGAACATGGAACAATGGATAACAATTGGATAAGTTCAGATTTAGGAAAGGCCTAGATAAATGCTGGTCTAGAAACAGGGCTGTTAATTTATGTAACAAATTTTTATGTTATATAATGGATGCGAGATCTCTGGCCTGTTTCAGGCACAGGCTAAACATACCTCTGCATCTTGCAACCATTTAATTACCCGATAAACTACAAACAAGATCTAGTCTTAACCATTATCCATATAATGAACCAGAATAGCAGGGCCATAAATGCATGTGAATTTGGGTGGGTATAAACAGGAACTGTACTTGTCTGGGCAATAAACCTTTTACAAGTTTCCTTTATTCTTGGGTTCTCAGGTCATGTAACAAAGACCCGCAGTCATTTTTTGAGAGTGTATATTGTCTAATGGCTTTCATCACTTAGCATCCGTGTGCTACACAGTCTTCCCAGCTTGGCGCCTTCTTTCAATAATTACTCACCAGCAGCCGGGATGGGGAGAGCGAGATTACAGCTGCTGCCGAGGAGTTCCTCATTTGATTTTATATGTTGAATTTTCCCAGTTCTATCATATAGTTAAATATTGTCCTTGCGTCAGATGCTTTGTCAGTTGAATTACAGTATTCCATAGGCTTATCACTGGGAGTAGTACAACACTGCAAACTGTTTAGTTGCAGGATATAAGCTGGAATTTGTTGCCTTTTAATATATGTAGATATAGGTACGTATATGGTTAGAAGTTGCCAGGGTTAGTTTGCGTTGTCTGGCAATACAATATATGTTAGATTTCCAGGTGCCTTTAGCACAGTGATCTACTTTCCTGGCTTGCCAGTGACGAACCCAGGTTCAGTCCCAGGACAAGACAGAAACAGTTGGGCACATTTCCTTTCCCCCTTGATATTTCTGTTCACCTAGCAGTAAAATAGGTTCCCAGGAATTTGCTAATTGTTATGGGGGTGTATCCTGGAAAAGCTCAGAGTTGGCTGAAGGATACCTTAGTACAAGTCCAGTCGTTCTGTCCCAACAATAGAAATTAAAATTAAATTAAATATGAGCTCTGCGATGCCTTGTTAGAACAAGTGTTATTCTGGCATCCTCTTGGGTTTCCACAAGATGAGCTGTGTTGGCTTGATAGAAGAGATGACGGCGTTACAGCCTCCAGTCCATCATGGTACTGTATTCTAGATCACACTTCAGATTGCTGTTGTGTATATGCTTAGCAGAACATATGAACATGTAGACAAGAAGTCACAATATTGTGACTGAGAATTAGGACTCAACCCACACATCAGAAAATCAAGGAAGTGTCGACGTTTCAGTCAAGCAGTATGAGCATAACGGACACCTGTTAACATTGTGCCCAAAGGGATCAATTGCATATACTGTTATCTTGAGATATCTTATCTTGAGGTTATCTTGAGATGATTTCGGGGCTTTAGTGTCCCTGCGGCCCGGTCCTCGACCAGGCCTCCACCCTCAGGAAGCAGCCCGTGACAGCTGACTAACTCCCAGGTACCTATTTACTGCTAGGTAACAGGGGCATTCAGGGTGAAAGAAACTTTGCCCATTTGTTTCCGCCTCGTGCGGGAATCGAACCCGCGCCACAGAATCACGAGTCCTGCGCGCTATCCACCAGGCTACGAGGCCCCCTGTAGTTACAGTATTTGCACACAGGAGAAAATCACCTCCATATCTTCCATTGCAGCAGTATAAGGGTTAAAATGTTTGCTACTCAATTTACGGTATCTATAATTGTAACTTAGATAGAAATTTTGAATTTGAATTGCTATCAACAGGTAGCCCTCACTTCAGTAGTATGTCTTTGTTACAACTGGTTTTCAATTGCCCAGTTGTTTAAGTGGTTTATTTGGTGGGTTCGTACTATAACAGTTGTATGGATCAGACATTACTGTTAAGCAAGGCGGCAGGTGGGAATGAAACACACGATAACTTGGTAGAGTTTTAAAGGAAAAATGGTGCAAAATTTCATCTTAAGAAAGAGTATAAAACTAGCAGGTATTTCAGTGCAATAATTTAGACTGTATAGTTAATGCTTCCATATCTTCTCGCTGTGCTAAATCATAAAAATATACTGTAATTATTAAATATTGATGGCATAGTTTACTCACAAGAACATCACTATGATAAAAGGCATAACAAGAAATGACCCAAAAAAAGTCAGAGTATTAGGTGATAAATTGTGCTAGATAAGAAGAAAGTGGGAAACGTCTCAAGAAATGACATTAACATCTGCCTTTTTGTGCTCCTTCACCAACTGTGTTGCAGCTTGTGTGTCACGAATTTTGACATCATTGCCATAGCCAAGAGAAGCACCCAGGGAGGAAGCTGGGCGGAAGGTGTTCTCGGATTCACCCAGAGAGTTTTCTCCAAACGGCGTCTTGTTGTTACCAGAGGGTAAATCAACACCAAATCCAGCACTGTCTGGAGACCCTTGTCCACCAAATGAACTGCTTATTCCACCAAATGACCCGGTGTCTCCACCAGAAACACCACTTCCTCCACCAAAGGAACCAGCTCCTCCACTAAATTGACTGGTGTCTCCACCAGAAACTCCACTTCCTCCACCAAAAGAACCAGGTCCTCCACCAAATTGACTGGTGTCTCCACCAGAAACACCACTTCCTCCACCAAAGGAACCAGGTCTTCCACCAAATTGACTGCCTTCTCCACCAATTCCGCCGGCACCTGCTCCTATGCCACCACCACTTATGTCTCCGCCAACTGGGCTTCCATTTCCTCCAAATGAACCACTTCCTCCAAAGAAACCACTTCCTCCACCAAAGGAACCAGGTCCTCCACCAAATTGACTGCCTTCTCCACCTATTCCGCCGGCACCTGCTCCTATGCCACCACCACTTATGTCTCCGCCAACTGGGCTTCCATTTCCTCCAAATGAACCACTTCCTCCAAAGAAACCACTTCCTCCACCAAAGGAACCAGCTCCTCCACTAAATTGACTGGTGTCTCCACCAGAAACTCCACTTCCTCCACCAAAGGAACCAGCTCCTCCACTAAATTGACTGGCGTCTCCACCAGAAACTCCACTTCCTCCACCAAAAGAACCAGGTCCTCCACCAAATTGACTGGTGTCTCCACCAGAAACACCACTTCCTCCACCAAAGGAACCAGGTCCTCCACCAAATTGACTGCCTTCTCCACCAATTCCGCCGGTATCTGCTCCTATGCCACTACCACTTACGTCTCCACCAACTGGGCTTCCATTTCCACCAAATGAACTGCCTCCTCCACCAAATGAATCACTTCCTCCAAAGAAACCACTTCCACCACCAAATTGACTGCCTTCTCCACCAATTCCGCCGGCACCTGCTCCTATGCCACCACCAACTGGGCTTCCATTTCCTCCAAATGAACTGCCTCCTCCACCAAATGAACCACTTTCTCCACCAAATGAACCACTTCCTCCAAAGAAACCACTTCCACCAAATTGACTGCCTTCTACTCCAGGTGCACTGCTACCAGCTCCCACGACGCCTCCGCCAAATGGAGGGCTTTGCCCGCCTATTGATGCACCAGGAAGGCTGGTGGCGAAGGTACTTCCTCCTCCCCCAAACTGGCTTCCCGGATCAGGGCGGCCACTAGCTGGGAAGCTACTGGTGTCAAATCCAGTTCCAGGAGACTGACCCTGGAATGAGCCTGGTAAAGAAGGAGCTGCACTTGAGTCTCTAATGTTCCCTGGAATTGTCTGTGGCTGTAATTGTGTGGAAGAGAAATCTGAGGGGAAACCAGAGCTCAGAGGTGGGCCCTGTATGCCACTGTTGACTCCTGAAGGACCAGGCTGTGCTTGCCCGCTTCCCAAAGTATCCAGCTGCCCTCTTTGGAATGGCGCTGATGTCTCGGGGGAATGTCGATGGGGAAATGGATATATACAATCATAAGGTGACTGTATTTGGCCGTATTGGAAGCGGGGGGCATAGTAAGGTACTGGGAAAGAGTAAGGGCGGTGTGGGTAGTAATACTGGTAGAAATCTCGTAGGTTCCATCCAGGAGCGTATTGACCAGGCCTGGAAAGGCTGACTGGAGAATTAGGCGATGTGTCCACAATATCAGGAAGTCGGGCAGAAGGTTCAGAAGGAGCCGATGCCAGATCTCCGCGGAACCTTCCACTAAATCCTCGACTGGGCCAGAAAGCACGGGGGTCGCTCCAGTATGGAGCAGGCCCCTCCCACGAAGGGTAAAAGAATGGGAAGAACTGCCTCTTGTCTCGTTTCGTCTCTTCCTCCTCCGGGGACTCTCCCGCCGTCTCGGATTTGTCTGCTTCGGTGGCCTCTGTTGCATTTGTTTCATCTGCCTTGGTGGCCACTGTCACCTCTGTGTCGTCTGCTTCGATGGCCACTGGCACCTCTGTGTCTGCTTTGGTGGCTACTGGCACCTCTGTGTCATCTGCCGTGGTGGCCACAGCCGCCTGGGCCACCCATGCCACCGCCGCCACCAACACCAACACCGCTACCTGCAATACAACCACATTTGAACGGGGGTATCTAATTGCATAACATCATATTACATCTCAACGCCTTATTACATAACATCACGGCACACAACCTTTCAACAATTCATGGCTCCATATAATACTAATAACTGCGGCACTCTACAATCAGTGCCAGAGCTAAGAGGCCTGAGCTATGAGGATAGGAACTTACAAAATACTGCTGGGAAATTGACAAGGTGGCCAAGGACAGCCTCTTTAAAGTGAGATAAAGTAGAACGAGGGGATAATTATAACGCAACAGAGATTGCAGGCGGGGTATGAAGATCTAGACCTAAACTTTCCCACAGACATTGTCAGGAAAATACTGGGTGCAGCAACACACCGCTCAACACAGGCATCACAACAACAACACGTCTCAACACCACACAATGTTAATCCAGCGTCATATAACGCAATTAAATACAAAATATTCATTAACTGTTATACATTTATAATCCAGTTTACACAAAAAGTCAGCGAGTTATGTACACAAGAAACGTCATAATGACAACAACGAATCGCTTAGCGTAGGAAGTGGATTTACATAATACAAAAATGGCTTTACCTACTACGTAACGCCTTTTAATACATACAATGTATTGTATAGAGCATGAATAAAACATTATTTCACGTGTATATACTAGTAAAGCACTGCTAATTTTCCTGAATACATGCACACCATTGTGTTAATGAGGCTAACTTGCCGTTAGATCAATGTTAATGTATTCCCATAGTGACACATCACCTATGTTAACGTATTTATGTGTCACTCAAGGTGACACATCATCTATGTTAATGTATTCATGTTTAAACATCACCATTATTCTTAACGCCTATGTCTACACCATCACTATTTTTCACTAGCAATGTTTACGCTGTCACTACCCATGATAACAACACCCATGATAACACTACCACTCACAGCAGTGTGCAACATTGCAACACAAGTACGTCATAAAACTTGATATCGTTCACGTGGAGAACTGTAGCCTAGTACACCTTTGTCTGGTGTCACTAAACACACAACACCCGGGTACACAGGAGCCTCAGAGACCACATGTGCCACAGAGGTACACAGGAGCCCCAGAGACCACATGTGCTACAGAGGTACACAGGAGCCTCAGAGATCACATGTGCTACACAAGTACACATGTGCCACAGTGGTACACAAAAGCCTCAGAAACTACATGTGCCACAGTGGTAAATAGGAGCCTCATAGACCACTTGTGCCAGAGGTACACATGAGCCCCAGAGACCACATGTGCTACACAGGTACACATGTGCCACAGTGGTACACAAAAGCCTCATGCGAGACCACACGTGCCACAGAAATATATAGGTTGTTAACATTTAAATTATTATGTTTCTCATAGCGGACAACTGCATGGGAGGACTAGAATAAACACCTACATCAGTTCCTGCAAACTATTTGCCATAAATAATGAGGGGCCAGCGGAAAAATTAGATTATTCACAATAATAACTCATTTTAGCGGACATAACATTAAAATGCGGGTGAACGCGGCCAAAGGAAGCAGTCGTACCTTGGGTCTCATAGTGGAGAGATGTGCTCGGCGCGGCGGACGAGCCCTGTCTGCAGGCTCCAACACTCGCTCCTAGTTATATACGCCTTCCACCACTCGCAAAAACCCTCCTGCAGGGGCCTAGGGTGAAGGATGTGTGTGTGTGTGTGTGGCGAGTATTATATTGAGCCTGGTCCAGCATTGACGTCAAGGGGGTACGACGTGTCATTTAGCAGTTTCATGCCAGGTAATGGAGCTTTCTTTGGCCTGTAGTGTGTGTAGGGGAAGTATTTTGGTTGTGTTATGTAGGAGGCGCGGGGGTTTACTGGCTTTGAATACAGTCAGACTATTACGTCACTATAGTTTATTCCATCTTTGTGTTGGGTACTTGAGGGAATCGTTCTTGATATCCGTCATGAAAACTGCACCTCGACCCCCTTCCCTTCTCATTCATTGTTATCTTTCAACCAGTTCATGTGACATCATTTTTCCTTTCTGCGACATGGAAATTTGTATTTCACGATCTAGTGCGTTACAATGCTTCATTATCCACATACAACAGGGTGAACTGTCTGTGGTTTAGGCTTCGCGTTCGGCCAAAATTCACAGTCCTTATGGCTTCATTCATGACATTATTCATGTTTTTTTTGTAAATGTCTCACTGTCCGCCAATTCTCTGTGAATAATGCGTTGGAAATTGCGAAGCTTATGATTGGTGGTGTCAGTTGGTATCATTTCCTTTCATTTAAAGCCGCGTCAACTTTTCTGTCCTTAGATACACAGCTTAATAAATAAAAATATATAATTAATTATATAAATAATAATAAATAATTAATAATAAATACAAAACAGTCCAATAAATGCTCATTACAAGCGTTCAGAACCCCTAAGTTCGTTTAATCTGTTCTATAACTCCACTACCGCTCACAGGATGGGTACAAGATTTACTAGCGTTTGAAGGATGAGTAATTGGTCTACTACCGCTCACAGGATGGGTATCGGGCTCACTACCGCTCACAGCATGGGTATAACGTTCACTACCGATTTCAGGATGGGTAACGGATCCACTACCGCTCACAGGCCGGGTATGGGGTGCACTACCACTCACAGAATGGGTAATGGGTCCAATACCGCTCACAGGATGGGTATGAAGTACGCTACCGTTCACAGGATGGGTATGAAGTACGCTACCGTTCACAGGATGGGTATGAAGTACGCTACCGTTCACAGGATGGGTATGAAGTACGCTACCGTTCACAGGATGGGTATGAAGTACGCTACCGTTCACAGGATGGGTATGAAGTACGCTACCGTTCACAGGATGGGTATGAAGTACGCTACCGTTCACAGGATGGGTATGAAGTACGCTACCGTTCACAGGATGGGTATGAAGTACGCTACCGTTCACAGGATGGGTATGAAGTACGCTACCGTTCACAGGATGGGTATGAAGTACGCTACCGTTCACAGGATGGGTATGGGATGCACGTACTACCACTTACAGGATGGGTATGGGGTGCACTACCACTCACAGGATGGGTAGGGGGTGCACTATCACTCGCAGGATGGGTATGGGATTGTGTAATAAATGAACTAAACTAAAATAGGAACTAGAGAATGCGTAAGATACGAATCCTTATAGCACTGCAGCATTTTAATACAGGATGACGCAGCTTTGTAACCAAACCTGTGTATCTTGCGCCAGTAACGGCATTGAGGCGCCCTGAGTGACCCTTAGCGCTGTGTCTAAGATCCAAATTTCGGCAAAATAATTACAGAAGACCAGACCACACACTAGAAGGTGAAGGGACGACGACGTTTCGGTCCGTCCTGGACCATTCTCAAGTCGATTGTGCATTATTGTGACTCATCGCCTGCTAATTACAGAACAGTGACTTCCTTTAGTTACTGCTCAACCATACCTAATAACACAAATTAACTACTAACCTAACCTGACATGGTTTGACAAACCTAATCTAATCTATTCTAATCTAATTTAACTTAAGCTAAAATAGCCTATCGTAATTTACCTTAAGCAAGCCTAACATTCTACCTTAACCTAATCTTAATATATCTAACAATTCTAGATATCCCGATAAATATGAAAATAAATATATAATATTTAGCATTTCAGAAGGTGCTTCTAATGTCAAATTCAAATTCAATGACCTAAACTTTGCAACTTAAATCATATAAAAAATAAATCGAGGATATATGAATTCTAAAATTTGTAAATTTAATACAATAACCTCCGAGAAATCTTGAAAATATGAAATGGTGTCTGTAAATTGGTCTTCCATGGTGAGCAGTTAGCGGGTTGTTAAAGCTGTTATAACAACTGTTATTATTCAGGAATAACGTAACAACATTTGTCAGTCTCGACAGAACTCTTAAGGTGTCGGAGGTTAACACACACGAATATTATATATATATATATATATATATATATATATATATATATATATATATATATATATATATATATATATATATATATATATATATATATATATATATATATATATATATATATATATATATATATATATATATATATATTCTAGAACTAGAAACACTAGTTCTTGTTTTGTTTAAAACTTTTCATTCATAGCAGCAGCAGTTGACGAGAGAGGATGAGGGTGGTGGACGAGAGAGGGGGGGTGGACGAGTGAGGGGGGAGGGGGGGACGAGTGAGGGGGAGGGGGGAGGGGGGACGAGTGAGGGTGGGGGGGGGAAACACCTAGTGTTTGACCCTGAGATAATAACCTTCCAGAGTTCAGAGTCAGGTTTACTCACCTCTGGCATGTGTGACCTTTCAACTAAATTGTTCCGTCGACTCCAGAGCAAAAATAACCCTCACAGTTGTCCAGGTGGGCATCAGGACCACTATTAACTAGCACAACCATTAACAAGTGCGTGGGTGAAGCATTCACAGTCTGGCAGTTCGATCAGAGGTCGTCAGCGAAGCACTGTTCGAGAAATGTTTCGAACGTCAAGTATTATGAGTCGTGTGTAAACCGTTTATCATTCATAAACAGGGGGGCTGACGCCTGGATTAATGAGCATTTGGTCTTTGTTGATAAGGACGGCCCAGTATGATGTGAAGCCTTCATTTCACATGGGATATGAAGCTTCCCTTCACCCGAGACATAAAGCCAGACTTCAAATGAGACATGAGTCATTGCTTCGAGCAGCGAGGGTATATAACCAGAGCGGCGTCAAGACTCGTTCACGAGCGAGGAGTGGTTTGTCCTTCGCTGGAACCAGACGAGTTAGTGGAGTGTGTTCTTGTTGCTTTAATTTACCGTTCATATCTATAAGTGGAGCAAGTTTTTGATTCCCGATGTTGGGGGGACGACAGCCAGACAGTCTGTGTGGGTTGTTTTGTGTGTATACTGATATCATCAGTATACACACA